AGTCGGGCTCTTGCTTGTTGATATGCTACAAGAAGAGGACAAAGTTAGTTTTGAAAGGTGCCTTTGTGGGGCCTTAGGTGTAGCCCTTAAGGCTCGCAATCAAAACTAAATAAGTGCTAGGTGTGCCATTGCTATCTCAGTATAGCAGATGTAGAACAAGTGTGTTTTTAAGTCGATTACTTGTGCCCCAAGTTACTCGGACTTCTTGTTATCAAAGGATTGTCGTGGACGGGTTAAGTCCACATTAAGTTTTTTTTGTTGCCTTGTAAACAAGGACTTTTAGTTCATAGTCTTGTATGTTCGAATGAAGGGAATCCAGATCCCCTTAAGTCATTTACTTGGTTCTTGATTGATTTTAATGATATTGTATCCATTAAACTAACCAGATCCAGATGCAAGTGGAACTCTTAAATTAGTTTTGGGTTAACGTTAATTTTACATTTCTGTGCAGCCAAGAAAAACACCCAGGGACCATGTCGCCAGTTGAAGACGGTGAAGATCACCTGGGTGACCAACGGACGTATCACGATTAAATACGACGATTGGCATCGGGCTTCACCAACAGCGAAGTAGCATAGCACATTGGCCCACAACATTGATCATGTCGTTCAGACCTATTGCCCTATGCAATGGAAGTCTTGGAAGGCAAAGCCAGACGAGGTAAGGACGAAGGTGTGCGCACAGTTGTCGGTAAGTATTATACCTTTTGATTGTTTTTCCTTTAAATTTTATATATTTATATTACTTAATGTATGTAATTAATTTGTTACATTGCAGATGAACTATAATTTCAACAACATCAACTAGGACATGTTGGCATAGGTCAACAGGCTCTTCGCTTGACAGTACAAGCAGTGGAAGAATGACCTGCACCAATATTTTGAGACATTTGATCCGCATGTCACTCTTGAGGAGGGTTGCCCGAAGGAGTTTAAGGACTGGGAAGATAATTGGGCGTGGCTCTGCAGTCATTTTCAGGAGCCCGGCTATGTGGTACGTTTTTTATATTAAGTTTAAAAGTATTATACGTTTCTTACTAATGTTTATTCATTTTTTAAATTTCATTTAAATTTGAACTAATACGTTTATTTTTTGTATAACAAAAGAAAGCGAAAGCCAACAAGAGCAATCGGAGAAGAAGACTCTTTTCCACCATTCCGGTTCGAGGCCCTTCTCATATAGGATGGAGGTGCGACATCGGGTAATAATAAAGTTTTTCATATTCAATTTTTAATATGTCAATAATAAATTTTTTTTTTTTTCGTACTAAGTACTAACATTTTTCTTCTCTTGTTTTATTCAGGGGGTTCAAAATTTCCGGAGATTGATGTCTTTAGCGACCTTTATGTTCGACCCGGGGATGAGTTGGCCGAGTCCCTTCATGTAAGTATTCTTCAATTGTAATTACTATCTTACGCATTCAAGTTTCATGGTTATTATTTGAATGTTATAATTATATTTAATGTTATATTACACAGGCAACGATGATGGAGAAAAGGCAGTTGGTTCTTCAAGAGTCCGCCACCCAGCTTCCTCCTAAGACTCCGCTCGAGTCTGTGGATCCCCCAGAGGATGTATTGTAGGGGATGGGGAATGCCCGATGGCGGGAACCTAGAGCCTCTTCATCATCGCAGTCAAAGAGTCAGGTGACAGCTTTGACGGTAGAGGTGGCCGACCTTAGGACTGAGCTTGCCTCGTATAAGAGCCAGATGTCACAGATTGTACAGGCCCTCAGTCAGTCCAGCATTTGTCTCCCATATCTTCATCCCCCATCGACATCCGAGCCCCTCCAACCTGAGCATGCCTAGAACACTGTCGCTTTGACCTCTGAGCCCGTCCCCAACTTCGTGACCTTCTTGCCCTAACATTTCCAGCCGCCTTCAATTGACGATCTTGTAGATTATGCCGCATTATTTTCTTACTTTTGTACTCCCTTACTTTTTAAACGTTTTCCTTGTACATACATTTTATATTTATTTAAATAAATTATTTTTCTCTTCATTACATTTTTTTTAATTACAATTTTATTTTATTATTTTATTACAAAATTTAAAAAAAAAAAAAACAAAAAATTTAATTTAAAAAAATTTATTTTTCTTTTTTGCGACGAATGCCTTCGTCTCACAAAATTCTATCGACTAACAAGGTTTCGTCACGCAAGAATAAATTATCGTCGCACAAAGTTTCGAGAGACAAATATTAGTCGTCCCACGTTTGTATCTTGGTATTTTGTGCGACGAACGCATTCGTTCTTAAAAATTTGTGCGACAAAGGTTAAACCGTCGCGCCATGTTCTTGCGACCAATGATATTTTTCATCATGCAAAGTCTTTCTTCACGATCTTTGCACGACGGATTCTACGCGATGAAGTTTCCGTAGAAGTTCGTGCGACGGAAATAAACTTTGCGTGACCAACTTTTGTTCGTCGCTTAAATAGTAAAACGTAGTAGTGAGTGTAACGACTTTTAAGTTTCAGAGGACAAAGTGATTTTAAAATCAAGTTCCAGAGAGTGTGGCTAAGAATAAGCTTTTTTTATTCAAGGACAGACGTTGTTCATCCATACATATACCATTGATTCAAATGAACCAAGATTGATACAAGGACAAGGCAGAATGTAGCACTAAAACAGGTAAAACGAAGAGTCACGCCCACCAAACATATGAACTCAAAGAACGTCGATACCTCTCTTCCTCTTCTGAGTTTGTAGTTATACCCCGGTGAACAATTCCAACCATTTTTTGGTGTTTGCAGCAATATTTCTCAAGTCTCTCCCTCATTTTAACGACTTCCATCTTCTCTCTTAAAACTCTCAAATTTGCATCCACATTATTCCTTGGTCTACCTGCAGATAATAAATAGAATCAAACATATAACATGCAAGTTAACTTTTTTGAATATATAATTGGAAGCTATTTACTAGTGTACCACTATAAATATGTTCACAAGCATTATTGGAAGCTAGTTACTGTGAAATATATTGCAGAAAATATACCAATTATTTATATGATGAAATATAATAAATTAAATGTATAATCAATATTGGACTTATGAAAAAATAAATTAGGAAAAAGGAATAAGAAAATTTGGCCTGTGAACCGAAGAGAGGCACGATGTCGCTGCCCTAAAGCCATAAATGCCTCCGTACGTGCAGGTTATGGTGGTGCCTATAACTCCAAGATACAACTCAAAACCTCATAGGATGTCTGTTCCACTATGCATGCCAACAGCAAATGGAATTGTCAAATATTGATTAATTGCCCAAGAATTATAAGGTAGAAATGTAAATTGACTGACAAAGATGTGAGAAGTGAAGGAGACATAATAGTTTTTTAACGTATTCTATTTTCTTCTTATTTAAGGAACTTCTCATACCCCTTTAGAGAAGGATTACGACTCTTCAAATAAAACACAACTCTTAAATATTAAAAATAAATAAAATAATAATAAGTTTTGAATCTTTAAAATAAAAAATAATTAAAATAACCAACCGTTACTAGTGTATTCTATTGCGAATGAATTCTACATAGGGAACATGAGGGACCTTAAATGTGCTTATAAATAAAATGGGTTACTCCCCACATTGCAAATTGGATTTATACACTAGTACAAAAAATACTTTGGGTGACGTAGGTCCTTCGTCGCGCGACAAGCGTCGCGCCAAGCCTGTGAAAGAAGGTTTTGCGCGACGAAGAAGTTACATGCGTCACGCAAAGTGTCTTTGAGTGACGTAGTAACATGCGTCACACAAAGTGGGTTTGCGTGACCTAGGTGTACGTCACGCAAAGTGGGTTTGCGTGACGTATGTGTGCGTCACTCAAAGTGGGTTGGCGTGATGTAGGATGCGTCACGCAAAGTGGGTTGGCGTGACCTAGGCGTGCGTCACGCAAAGTGGGTTTGCGTGACGTATGTGTGCGTCACTCAAAGTGGGTTGGCGTGACGTAGGATGCGTCACGCAAAGTGGGTTTGCGTGACGCATACCTACGTCACGCAAACCCACTTTGCGTGACCTATGGAACTTTTTCGTCGTGCAAACTTTTTATGTTTTTATTTTTTTTTAATTTTTTTGACAAAAATATTTTTGATTTATTAATATTTTTGATTTAATTTTTAATAGATATTGTATTTCAATTCTAAACAATAAACAATAAACCAAGAAAAAGTTTAATTATAAACCATATGAAAATGTGCATACAAGATGTCTAAACAAAAAAAGAAAAAACTACAACAAGTAGTCTTCTAGGTTTGAAAACTACTGGGTATCGGGTAAGTGAGGTGGCTGGGAGGTCGAAGGTGGAGTAAGATCAGGTGCTGGCAGCTGGATTTGGAGACCGGACACCGCTAAGGCCTGTACAATCATACTCATCTGGGCCCTCATTTGCTCGCCATGGGCCTTTATCTGCTTGTTCTCAGCCCTCATCTGCTCGTTCTCAGCCTTTATATGCTCGCTATGGGTCCTCATCTGCTCACTATGGGCCTTTATCTGCTCGTCCTGGGTTGCAAGCTGACCTTTTAGGGTTGTCACTTCCTTCTTCAGGGCGTTGACCTCTCCTGTGGTCGATTTGGAAGAAGAGGCACCCGTCTCACGAACCCGCGCCTTCCCCATACCCCGAACAACCTTGCCATGACGACGACCGTACTTTTGATCCAGGACCTCAGTCATGATTTGAAAACCTACATCCTCGGGTAAAGTGACGTCCTCCATCGGGGTTTCTAGGGGAAGTTGCGATGTTGCTTCTTGGAGAACAGCATCGCCCTTTTCCACCATAGTAGCCTGTAATAATAAAGAAAAAACATATAATGGTTAATAACAAAATATAAATAATATTTGAACGATTCATAAATATAAGAATAATAACAATTACATCTAATTACATGAAGCTGCTCAGCGATCTCATTGCCAGGTCGAACGTAGGAAAATTTTACGTCCTCCTAAAAAAAACAAACATTAGGAAAATTTTATTAATCAATAATAAAAAATAAATTGTATAAAATTTCAAAATTAATATACTTTTACCTGACGTCGTGTCTCAAGCATATACGAAAAGGGCTTCGAACCGGAATGGTGGAGAAGTGTCTTAGACTCCCGAGCTATCTTGCCAGCAACATATTTCTTCTGTTAAACACACAATATACATGTTAGTGCGACTATTTGAAAGAAATTATTTTAAAAAGCTTAAAAAAATAACTAAAACATTAATGAATTATTATTAAAATATTAAGTACATACCACAAATTTTGGGTCCGTAAAATGGTTGCAGAGCCATTCCCAATCCTCTGGCCGGTCCTCCAACTCGGATGGGCAACCCTCTAGGCGAGCAACCTCTGGATCATTAAATTTCTTAAAATGCGCATGAAGATCGCTCTTCCAATTTTTGTACCGATTTGCGAAGGTCTCGTCTAAGTAGGTGATGACCTCAGGGGATATGTCCTTAAAATCAAAATTGACCTACAAATAAAACAACAAAATAATAGTAAGAAATTTAATAATATTAAGATAATATACTTTGGTTTATAATATTTGTAAACATAATTAAGAAAATGATAAAAGACCAAAAATTAATATACTAACCGACAACTTGTCTCGCACTAGTATCTTCGTCTCCTGAGGAATTTCTGCCCAAGTCTCCCACTGCATAGGACAACAATTCCGAATAACACAACCACAACTAGTAGCGACGATGCTATGTTGTTGTGAGGTAGCCGCTCCACGATGTCGCGAGTCATATGCAATCTTGATCAAGGAGGCAGACAGACATACATTCTGTGCCGTCTTCAGCATTCGATTAGGCCCCTTGGTTTTTTTTTTAGCTATCCAAAAAAACTTAAATGGTGAAAATCCTAAGCTTAAATTTCTATAGAAAATTTTGCAAAACCTCCCCTAATAGTATATCATTTCCCAAAACCTTAAAAAAGTAAAATAACAGTAATTCACAACCCGCAACAAATTTTCACAATCATAAAAATAATATTTTTAAAATGAAAAAAAAATACAACGTAGTGAGAATTAGGAAAAAAAAACTACCTGGCTGGGAGCCCCCATCCTCAACTTTGGATGATGAGGAAGTGTGAACAGAAGGCTCCAAATCGCAGCGGTGCCGGTGAGGCCGCCGTGCACTGAGCGACTGAACCGACACTGATGACGTCGATGATACAGGCACCTGGGATGCCGTAGCAGTAGCCTCAGTAAGGGGTGTAGGCTCCCCAATCAATGGAGCACTCACGGATGGAGCAGTAAATGCTGATAATGCGGGAGGCGCATTGGTCACACTCTTACGACGAGTGATCAACTGCGACATCTATACATTTTTTGAAGAAAGCATTCAACTCAACATCATTTCAAAGACAAACTTATCAGTAAGAAATTTAACAAAAGAATGGAAAACAAAAGGCGAAAGCATAAATCTTTTCTCGCTAAAAAGAAGGTAAAAGGCTTAAAAGCATGCCACACAAAATGCTGAAAGAATACCTTTTCAGCTTTTATAATATTTGCTTAATGGAATATAGGATTTCAAGGTTCAACCACCAAGTTCTTGATGAGAAATACGTAACAAAAAGAAATTGTGCAAAGGTCTAATTAAACCAATGTCATAACAATGGAACGAAAAGTTTCACATGCCGAAACTGAAACACACACTACACTGCCACAGCCTATGAGGCAATTACTTAAAAGGTTTTGCTAATGATATGATGATCCCAACTATTATTGTTTCTTGCAACAAAGTGACAAACTTTTCAGGAACAAGAAAAAAAGCTACTAGATTAGGGAGTCTGGTAGTTTCTTAAACAAAGGAGTTGTTAGATTTCCAAAATGTTAATTAGCTTTCTTAATGTTATGGACTAAGCTTAATTAGTACTTTAGTTTGATTATCTGGAAGTTGATGTTGAAATTATAAAATATGGATGTCAAAACTAGTAATACAGTTGTTTATTTGGACATCATCGATTAGAATATTGGTTTTTTGTATGTAATTGGATCCATTAGCGATAATGACGACCCATTGCATCCACTGATGACGATCCATTGCATCCACTAATATATTGATTACTAAAATGTCACTAATTTAGTGACGCAATACCAGACGTTTATTTTTTTTTTCTTCCAATTGGACATGAGATTGAGAAACTACGGCAAATACTCAGACGGTAGTTGTTATAATGCCAATTATCTAAAGTTAGTCAATTCTACTTCACATGGCATTGGACAATAACTCAATTTTTTCCGACTAATGACAAGTTCGCTTCTAAATGCAATTGGTTTTCTCAAATCATCTTAAACCCAAATGCTCAATGGCTATACAATCACAAATTATGATTCAAAATAATTGAAATTGTGCTAAATGGCTATACAATGGCTGTATAAGACAATAAGGTCTTAATCACATTGATCTAGTACAATCGAAAAGGCCTCCGTGCATGTTTTTCCAGATATACCCAGGTTACAGAAATACCTTGTTCAGCTGGTAATGAACTTTGATTCCCTGTAGTATCCTTTTGGAGATGTTCCACCATACCCAGGTCACCGATAAGATTCCCAGAGGGAACACACTCTTTCCAACCCCAAGTGTAAACTTCACCAATCTCTGTAGAATGTAGGTTGACCAATAATCCCAATTAGTTCACATTCTGGTCCTGTAGAAATTCATTACAAATAAATTGTTTATGTATGAAAAAGAACAAAATTGCATCCCTTACTCTGAAAAGAGCCCTGCATTTCCTATGGATTTTCTCCATAACTACAACCACAAAAGCTCGAAAGCAAGCACTGGAAAACACAAAAAATGAACAACACGATTTCTTCTCAAAGCATCTCACTGTCTAAGACCAAAAACAACACCTGGAATACATATTTCCTACAGAACTCCATGCGAAGGGAAATCCTAACAATACAATGCCCAAGGCTTGAAGAAAAGAATGCCAAATAAAAAGCTAAAAACATGGAAAGTAAATTAATGAAATTGCATCTCTTTTGAAGAAAATAGCCTTGCATTTCCTATGGATTTTCTACATAACTACAACCACAAAAGCTCGAAAGCAAGCACTGGAAAACACAAAAAATGAACAGCACGATTTCTTCTCAAAGCACCTCGCTGTCTGAGACCAAAAACAACACCTGGAATACATATTTCCTACAGAACTCCATGCGAAGGGAAATCCTAACAATATAACTACCAAATGCCCAAGGCTTGAAGAAAAGAATGCCAAATAAAAAGCTAAAAATATGGAAATGTTCATTCACTCTCAAAATCACTTAACGAACAATTAAACCAAAGTACTAAGATTGTAAAACAAAGTTAAAGGAACAAGCTTGAGCTACAGAAGAAACATGAAGCCCGTGTTTATTCATCCAGAAAGCACAGGAAAAACAAATTAAAAACACCAAATTTCCACTTTTAAATCTTCTTTTTTTTCCTATGATGTCAAATAACAACAATGATTCAAATAACAATAATCATTACTAAAAAATTCGATTCAAATAACAATAAACATTTGAGCACAAATTCAATTCAATAGGGCAGGGGACTGAACAGGGGTGTGCGGGTGGTGGTAAATGGGGACAAGTCGTTCCCCCCTTAAATAAATTTGTTTTTCAATCACAAAACGAAACAACTCTGGGCTCTCTAGTTTTCAAAGTACTCAGAAATCAACATGCAATTTCACCCTAATCCCTAAATAACAAAAACCCATCGAAAATCACAAACCCTTACATTGATTTTGGGACTTGATTCCCGTCGGCTTCGAGATTCGTGTGGCTACCCGTTGTTTAGAACGAGAAGGAAGAGAGAAGTCTATGGGAAAGAGAGAGGGAAGACAAGTCTGGGTTCAAGATTTGGGGATCAAGGTTGCGAAGAGGAGAGATGAGCAAGAGGGAAGAGATAGAGGAGACGCAGGACTTTTCTCCTGCAATTTGATTTGCAATTTGAGCGAGAAGAAAAGAGGTCTGCAATTTAAGCAAGAGGAAAAGAGGTCTGCAATTTGAGGAAAAGAGGTCTACGGAAAGAAAAACCGAGAGGAAAAGAGGATAGGGTATATGGTTGCGAAACTTGGAAAAATTGAAAAAAAGCGCCTATTTTTCGCTATGGACCGCCAATATTATCAATTGGCGTCACGTAGGTATACAATTTGACGTCGCGCTTTTTTTTTTTTTTTTTTTAAATTATTAAAAAAATTACCAAAAATGTGACTTTACTCCTTTCAAGTTCAATTTTTATTTCACATAAACCCCACAATAATATATTATTCTAAAAAAAACCCATAATAATTTTTTTTACTTATATATCATTCAATTTCTTAAGTGTTATAAGTACAAAATAAATAAATTAAAATTTACTTAGTAAATACATATACCATTGCACTTGATGGGAAACACATTGTACGAAACTAGTTTCAACGATCCAACAGTCAAACTTGTTTGTATATGCTTCGAGATCGCATACGCCAAAAATAGAAAAAAAAAACATTTAGAGGTCAAGTAACGCGACAAAACTTTTCGACGGTTATAAATGAAAAATAACGATTTAACGGTAGTTTTAACTCCGATTTGGAATGATTTTTTACAGCTACACTCCTTGACCCTATATGAATACAATGAACTAATTCGATCGTCATTTTAAAGTATTTACACAAGTGGATACCACAAAATCTTATGTTATACTTAATGAAAGTATTAATAAACTCTAAGTGTTAGTAAATCTACCATTTTGATGGGAAACACATTGTACGAAACTAGTTTCAACGATCCAACCGTCAAACTTGTTTGTATATGCTTCGAGATCGCATACGCCAAAAATAGCAAAAAAAAAAAACATTTAGAGATCAAGTAACGCGACAAAACTTTTCGACGGTTATAAATGAAAAATAACGATTTAATGGTAGTTTTAACTCCGATTTTGATACTTTTTTACAGCTACACTCCTTGACCCTATATGAATACAATGAACTAATTCGATCGTCATTTTAAAGTATTTACACAAGTGGATACCACAAAATCTTATGTTATACTTAATGAAAGTATTAATAAACTCTAAGTGTTAGTAAATCTACCATTTTGATGGGAAACACATTGTACGAAACTAGTTTCAACGATCCAACCGTCAAACTTGTTTGTATATGCTTCGAGATCGCATACGCCAAAAATAGAAAAAAAAAAACATTTAGAGGTCAAGTAACGCGACAAAACTTTTCGACGGTTATAAATGAAAAATAACGATTTAACGGTAGTTTTAACTCCGATTTGGAATGATTTTTTACAGCTACACTCCTTGACCCTATATGAATACAATGAACTAATTCGATCGTCATTTTAAAGTATTTACACAAGTGGATACCACAAAATCTTATGTTATACTTAATGAAAGTATTAATAAACTCTAAGTGTTAGTAAATCTACCATTTTGATGGGAAACACATTGTACGAAACTAGTTTCAACAATCCAACCGTCAAACTTGTTTGTATATGCTTCGAGATCGCATACGCCAAAAATAGCAAAAACAAAAAACATTTAGAGATCAAGTAACGCGACAAAACTTTTCGACGGTTATAAATGAAAAATAACGATTTAATGGTAGTTTTAACTCCGATTTTGATACTTTTTTACAGCTACACTCCTTGACCCTATATGAATACAATGAACTAATTCGATCGTCATTTTAAAGTATTTACACAAGTGGATACCACAAAATCTTATGTTATACTTAATGAAAGTATTAATAAACTCTAAGTGTTAGTAAATCTACCATTTTGATGGGAAACACATTGTACGAAACTAGTTTCAACGATCCAACCGTCAAACTTGTTTGTATATGCTTCGAGATCGCATACGCCAAAAATAGAAAAAAAAAAAACATTTAGAGATCAAGTAACGCGACAAAACTTTTCGACGGTTATAAATGAAAAATAACGATTTAACGGTAGTTTTAACTCCGATTTTGATGATTTTTTACAGCTACACTCCTTGACTCTATATGAATACAATGAACTAATTCGATCGTCATTTTAAAGTATTTATATTGAGAACACTTTGCGTGACGCACATGACGTCACGCAAAGACAATTTGCGTGACACACGTCTCTCGACGTCGCGCAAAGATACTTTGCGTGACGCATTCAGACGTCGCGCAAAGACACTTGGCGTGACCTATGGAACTTCTTCGTCGCGCAAACGCTTTTTTTTTTTTTTTTTGAGAAAAATATTTTTGGTTTATGTTTTAATACATATTGTAATTAAATTCTAAAAAATAAATAATAAAGCAAGAAAAAGTATTTAATTATAAACTATATGAATGTACGTGCAAAATGTCTGAAAAAAAAGAGAAAAAACTCAAACATCCTTTGCATGACGCATTGGCTCACTCTGGCGTTGCGCAAAGTTATATTTAAAAAAACTCAAAAGGTCGAACCAAAACTCAAAAGAAAACAATAGCCAAGTTGAATTGGTCAACAACAAAGCACTCCTACTTCAACTACTTGGTGACTAAATATGATAAATGGAAAGTAATTGAATCCTGAAATCCATAAAATCTCCAAAATCCACTAAAAAATTAACGAAAAAAAAATCAAGAATATAATGTCTAATTGAAACACAATTTGTTCAAAGTTCAACCACTTCATATCATATATTAATAAACTAGATCATACACTTCAAAGTTAAACATGATTGTAATTACTTTAGTATAAAGAAGGAGGCGAAATTGCACTGTAAAATTGATGATTTTACCTTGTTAGCTTGTGTGTGGGACCCACAAATCCAATGAAATGGTGACACGTGGATTACACAAAATAAGGTTTTTATCACAAATGGTTCCTAACATTGATCCAACTCCTCACTTTGGTCTCAGAGTATCAAAAATCGATAAATTTGGTTTCTAACTTTCAATACTGCACATCAATTAACCCTTCTGTTAAAGTTTCGTCAATATCTTTTGTCACACTAATTCAATCATATGGTGTTACATGGATTAACTATAAAAAACTATTTTTTAAGTTATAAAACTAAAACTAAAAGTGAAATAAGAAACTAAAAACCAAAACTAAGAGAAAGAAAAGTCATCGTCATCTTCATCAGGGTATGCTCAAAAAGAAAAGGAAGGCACCATGACACCATGAAAGATTTGGTCTCCTGAACTCACTCCTCATTCTCTCTAGTTGGTTATAATCTTATCAAATTCGAATTGAATTTGAATTTGATTTTATCGAATTTCGATTGAATTTTTTCTTGATTAGGGTTGTGGGATGTAAGGACAATGTCAGCGCAGAATACTCGTCTGTTGGTTCACTCTTAAAAAAAAAGTTTCTTATAGTTAATCCATGTGGAGCCATATGATTGGATTTGTGGAACCACATCAACACATAAATGAGAAATATTAACGGAAGGGCTAAATTGATGTGTGATAGTGATAGTTAGAGACCAAATTTATCGATTTTTGAAACTCATGGACCAAAATGAGGAGTTGGATCAATGTCAGTGACCATTTACGATAAAAACTCTTATTTGTGTAAATCCACGTGTCACCATTTATTTGGATTTATGGGTCTCACATACAAACTAATATAATAGTTGACGAAATCTTTATGGAATGACCAAATTGACGTAGGATAGTGAATGTCAGGGACGACATTGATTGATTTTGAAAATGAGATACCAAAATGATGAGTTTGATCAATCTTAGGGACTATTTATGATAAAAATCCTAGAATAAAAACTAAATCAATTTTAATAGTTAATGTAACTATGAGGCCCAATATAATAATAAAATTAATATTTGATGTATGTATTGAAAAAGAAGATTTGATATTTGTATTCAATTGGCTACATTAGCCATCAGATAAAATTTTGATATATTATATTTGACATCTCTTTTAAAGATGCTCTAAGACCGAATCTCTCTCCTTGTTAGAATAACATATGGGCCATGTCAAGTTTCCTTTTGGTTTAGGCCTCCAGCTACTCATTCAACCATTGTAGTCCGTCATAATAATTTAGCACTATCATTATTGAGTGTTGAACAACTCAAATTTAATTCTCACTTTTATAAGATGAACATAAATATCAGGAGACAGTAGTATTACTAGTGGCAAGGATCTTGCGGACTTTGAATTCCCCGTTGATTCCTATGGGATATGATGCAACAAATGTGGGCACTACTTGGTACAAAAGATGAAGCCGTTGTGCTTAAGAGAGAGTAACTTCAAATGTTTCGTTTTGCCGTGGAGAAACGAGCAGAAAATATGAAGTCGAAGAGAAGTTTAAAGCAGTAATAAAATCTTTACGAAGTTTGGATTAAGTACACAGAATACAGGACCAAATAAATACATTGTTTCTTATACAAATTTGTCGCACTCTTAGACCCTAAGCAATGTTAATTAGAAACTAATTAATTATCAAAAAAGGAAAAACCACATCAGAAATGCCAGCAGCTTCTTCAACCCACGCAAGGTTCAGAGCCAGTTTACCCTCGGCCGACCACTCGAAAGCCACTTCAGCACCATTCAAATAACATTTCTTTGGAGACTCACTTGAGTAGGCCAAGAAATTGCCTCCACCTTTGACCTTCACCATGGCACTAACCTCAGCCGCACTACTCTTGTACTCCAACTCTTGGAGGGCACCTCCACTGTTGAACATGTTTGTAAGTCCAATTGGTGCAAATTTGATGTTGTGTCCGAGCTTTTTAATTGGCACGAAGCTGAAAAGCTCGAACGAAGATGGCTGGATAATAACTTGAATTGCATCACATTTCAGGGTCATTAGGCGGAGTTCATCAGCCTGGTTGAGATAGACTACGTACTCTTCAGCCTTGCCCATATGTGTTGCTTCTATCTTTTGGTCCCATTCAATTTCGGAAACATGCAGTGAACAAGATTTCGGGTTATAGCACTCTGAGTATCCTCTGATCCTTTGCTCTTTGGGGTCCCAACCAGCCCCTTGGCAGTTGAAAGCTCTAATCACACCACCATACTGTGTAACAATAACAAATTTAGTAGATACGTTTAGCGTCTAAATTGTTACAAACTACAAAAGCACTTGAGACTAAGGAACATATGCATACCTTGTTGAAGTTCCAAATTTTAAGAACAGTTTTGTTGTCAAATAAAGGGTTTTTGAAGAGGCAGTCCCTAGTGGGGAGGGCAAAATGCTGGCACTTGGGAATGGTACCATCCGGGTAAACAAGCTTCTTAATGAGATCAAAATCATGGCCAGAGACTGAGTCACTTACATACACCAGACCTCCACAGATAACTCTAGATCCTGCATGAAATTTGGCACACAGATGGTCTGATTGGAACATATCCCAATCGGGATGTATGATCTGACCCATCCACATGCTGTTGTAGGCACAATGGATCATATGAACACCTTGTAACCAATAAACTCCCATCGGATCTCCGTTTGGATCCTGGAACCAAAAATCATCACCTGCAACACAAGCATAACATCCAAAGGAAAACAAATCATGTAGCACATGAATTCGTAGATTGGGTGGCACAGAGAGATAACTACGGAAAAGATACAAGATAATTCTTACCTGCAGAGAAGATGATTAGGTTGCCCTTCAATTCTACAGCACCAATCAAAATATTCAACAAATTACCAACTGAAAAACATAAAAGAAAAAAAATCAACCACCAAAATTTCACATCACTTGATTGGGATTCATTGCAACCAATCAAGACCCAACATAAATCACAGAGTAATGCCAATGGGAACAAAATTTAAAAAGGGAAAAGCTTTAGCTGGAACGGGGGAACAGAAATATAACATGTCCACTTAAATGATAGTGTTATCAATTACATCATTTATGATCATAACAAACAAACCTTTAGGAGGAGAGTGTGGAAAGTCCCTGGACAATAACAACTTCATGCGGAAAACACCATTCTCATAAGGAGTGCCAGCTGCAAGGCCAAGATCGTAGCTCAGTAAATATCTCAAAAATATTCAAACAATAGGAGCGAAAGACTAAATTACAGCTTATGCCAAAAAATAAACATGCCTGGCCCTTCAATATCAGCATATACGATTGAAAATCATCATCGTTAATCCTAACTTGAATGCCTTCAGTTCCAAGAAGCACAAAAGCTAGATCAGAACGAATCAACTGATGTGACACAAAAGGAAGACAGAAGAAAAGTGCCAATGACGAAAAACAGTGAATATGCCCAGTTCAATTGCACTATGGTTGGATTTTGAATCGCTCCCACATTGAAGCGCATGCATTGCCACATCCCTCAACACAATATTGTACCTTTCGCGATAATACTATACTACTGAATTTCTACTTTGATCTTCTAGAGTGAACCTAAAACGCAAACATGGATGATAAGTTATGAACATTTTGTTGCCATGGAACACCGTCATAACCCAATTTCATTTTGTTTTCATTTTTACTCTTTATGATGTATGATATTGCAAATTCAATCAAAATAGTTAAACGAAAGTAGATAATGAGCGTGAAAATTCCTGTTCTACATTTCAAGCGAATCAAGTGCCATAACAACGTATATACATATAAACAAGATATAAGCATAAACATAACGTAAAGATTATAAGACTCACATCAGCTTGCCAGGGGTTCCACCGAGACCCCTGTGATTGTATAAGACCTATCCTCAGGATGAGAAAGTGCTACCTTCACCCCCTTTAAGGCCTTTTTAACTTGTAAGTAACCGAATGCCAATCAGTTTCCAGGACAAATATCTTTAAAAGTAACCATTTGTGAACAAACATAAGTAAATACATAGAACTCTGAATAATTTAGCCTATGTGGACATATACACCTGATCCAAATGAAGTGAATCCAAAATGAACAGGTCAATTCATAATAAAAGCAAATGATTACATGCTAAAACAAAATGCAGCTTCAAAACCGAATAAGCATGAATACTAGCATATTTGCATAAATAGAACCTATAACAAGTGTAAATAACTTCTACTTCGTTGTTCAGACTGGTAAAAAATAATTACAAACTATCAACATTGTATTTTATTTATATAGCTTAACTTTTAGATAAGTTGCCTATCAAAACTGCATGAAACAAATCGAAGTAAAAATGGAGAATACCTTCAAACGATCACGATCAGATTCTTCCCGTGCCTTTTTTTAGTTTGACTTTGCCTCTCCTCAATCTCCTGGTTTTTCCTTTACAAGTTTATATTAATCCTCATCTGAACTACAATAATAACTCTCGTTATCCTCACTACTATCATTTTCGGATTTCCATTCATCCTCATCTTCATTTGCCTCTTCCGGTGCATTGTATCGTGGTAGATCACCAAGGTCAATTGAAATTGACTCTATTGGTATTTCGAATTCGGGAACTCCAGCTACTTCAAACGGTTCTTGGACAACATTAGTATCTCAGAGTGTTTCTTCACCAATTTTTATCAAACATGATAACTGTTGGTCAGCGATGTTGTCGTCGTTGTTATCTTGATTTAGTTCCGGAATATCATATAGCCCTCTTCGATCAATCTTCTGAACAACTTTCCAACCATTGCCAGCTTTAGGGTCGTCTAGTAAGAATATTTGTTTTGCCATAGTTGCCAAAATGTATGGGTCTTCATCGTACCAACGTCTGGTAGTGTTTACTGATAGTAAACCATGGTCTCGCTTAACACTCGTTCGGTTATGTGGGTTTGTATCAAACCAAAGACACTTAAACAGTATCACTTGACACCTGTCTTTGTAAAGCAATTGTACTACACTAGTTAGTTTACCATAAAAATCAATGTCTTCACTGTCGCCCGCACCCGGGACGTGGACACCACTATTTTGAGTAGACGACTTGTCATCACGTGTTGCCCCCAAGAACTTGATCCCGTTGACATGACAACCTGAGAACAATTCAACGTGAAGCGGTCCTCTTGCCAAGTTATATAATTCTTCATCGTAAGAGGGTGAATTCAATTCCTTCAATTTGTTCATCTAATATAACATATACAAAAAGTTAACCTGTTAGTGTAACCAAATTTGAAGACGGGCATGAACAAGTTGGAAAATATGCTGAATTCAAAACACATGCAACTTACATGTTCGTGAAACCACGAAGGAAACAAGGCATATAAATGTGAAGGATGTTCCCGCTTCATCAACCGTTCATGCTCTTCAAGGTATGGCAAAACCTCATCACAATTGTTGAGTATGAACCAATGCGCTACCTCCATGTCTTTTTTGGTAAACGATTCGCCTTTTACAGGATCGCCGAATGGTCGCGCAATTTGGGCAAAAACATATAGTTTCTCTTTTCTGACACCACCGTCATTATTGCGTTGAGGACGATTGAAAGCTGTCTCAACATCTTGAAGATACATTGCACAAAAAGTAAGTGACTCATATGCGACCCATGCCTCCACAAGTGATCCTTCGGGCTTTGCCCTATTTCGGACACACTTTTTCAACTCACCAAGATATCTACACAAATAAAAGGTATGCTACAAATTATTCAAAGCGATTGTTGATCATTAATCTGTTATATATATATATATATATATATATATATATATATACGCTTAATTAAGTACCTTTCTATTGGATACATCCATCGGCAATTGACTAGTCCAGCAAGCAATGCCTCATCTGGCAAGTGAATCATCACGTGAATCATACTTGTAAAGAAAGCTGGAGGAAATATCTGTTCGAACTTCCATAAGACGTTCACAATGTCGTCCTGCAATTGTTTAACATCCGACTTCCGCAAACACCTTGCAGTCAATTGTGAAAAAAATCTAGACAACAACACGATTGGTTTCACCATATCAAGAGGCAATAAGTGTCGAATACCAACCGGTAGAAGGCGTTGGAGTATCACATGACAATCATGACTCTTCATGTTTGAAAATTTACACCCTCTCACATTCACGCAACGCGAGATATTGGAAGCATACCCATCTGGAAACTTTACAGAAGAAATAAAGTTGAAAAACTTTTTTTTCCCATTCGGATTAACTGTAAAAAAAGGATGGCCTTTCTTCAAAGCACCACCAACTTTCTTCATCCACAAGGATGGCCTAATGCCCATTCGTTCCAAATCAAGGCGAGCTTCGACCGTGTCTTTCGTTTTTCCTTCAATGTCTAGAATTGTCCCGACCAAAGTATCAAACACATTTTTCTCAATATGCATAACATCAAGGTTGTGTCTCAATTTTAACTTTGACCAGTATGGGAGCTCAAATAACATACTCTTGTGTGTCCAGTTCAGATCTGTAGTTGGTCTGGGCTTACTGACCCCTTTGCCAAAATGACCAAATTCCAAACGGTTTAATTGATCCAAAATCTCATCTCCAGACCATTCTCTTGGTCTTGGTCGAGTCTCTTTTGTGCCGTGGAAGGCTTTATCGTTCTGACGCCACTCGTTGTCCTAAGGGAGCCATCTACGATGACCAAGATAACAAACTTTTCTCGCATGCCAAGACGATGTTACGTTCTCCTTGCATATTGGACATGCCAAATAACCCTTAGTCATCCACCCAGAAACCATTGCATACGCGGGAAAATCGTTTACTGTCCATATCACTGCTGCTCTCATGGTGAACATTTGCCCAGTATACTTATCATATGTACGAACACCGTTTTCCCATAAATCTTTTAGCTCATCTACCAACGGCCGCAAATAAACATCAATGGACTTTCCTGGATCTTCAGTAATTAATAGAGTCAACATCATGTATTCTTTTTTCATGCATTTCCAAGGCAGCAGATTATAAGGAAACACGACGACCGGCCAAGTGCTGTGGATTTGGTTTAGAACCCCAAACGGATTAAATTCGTCGGTGGCAAGTCCCAATCTGACGTTTCGCGGGTCAGCTGCAAAATCAGGGTACATTCGATCGAATTCTTTCCATGCTTCTCCATCTGCAGGATGCCTCATAACATCGTCATTTACTCGTCCTTCTTTATGCCATCTCATATCGGTAGCGGTGTGCATCGACATGTACAATCGTTGCAACCTAGGCTTCAATGGAAGATAACGCATTACTTTTTGTGGAATCTTGGTCTTTCTATTTTGTGATGTCATTTTAAACCTTGGCTCATTGCATACAGGGCATTTATCCAACTGTATGTTCTCCTTATAGAACAATATACAATTATTTACACATACATGAATTTTTTCATACCCCAATCCAAGACCCTTCAACACTTTTTGGGCACTTTTATGATCTTCAGGTAAACAATTGTCCTTTGGAAGCATCCTCTTGATAACTCCTAAAAAGTAATCAAAACACTTGTTTGACAAACGAAACTTGATCTTGCCATGCATCAACTCCACAATTGTTGTGAGCATCAAAAAGTTTTCACACCCCGGATATAATTCTTGCTTGGCATTTTTCAATAGTTTTTCATAGGTTTTGAATGCCTCACTATCCATGGTTAGACGATCGTCATCTCCCCCTTCCTGATTGGTGTTGGTTGTAACATATGGATAAACATCATTTAGAATATCCATAACTTGTTCATTAGGATCCACATTACATTCAACAGTCTCCACTCGTGTCATGTATGAAGACGAAGCTTGGTCTAATCGTTCTCCATGATGATACCAAGTAGTATAGGTCTCCATCATCCCATTTCTTACTAAATGAAATCGAACATTTTCGAATGTTTCCCTCATTGAGTTGTTACACTTCCTACAGGGACATCGAATATGAGTTGAACCTCGGTTGTGTCTAGTTGCGAATTGAATGAAATCATTTATTCCATCCACGTACTCGATGGCGCATCTATTATGATTCTGTATCCACTGTTTGTCCATTTTGCCTGCAATCCCAATAAAAGTACAACAACTTCAACTATTGTCTTCTCACCTTATTCCTCCGGTAAGGGCCTATCCCATTCAAAAATACACAGTTATGTGCCGTAATTTACGATTCCAATGGATTAAATTTCGCCATGGGCAAATTTCAACAGCATCTCCTTACAATTCTTCAAGTGCACGCAGTAGATACATAATATCCACTATCTACTCGAAGAACATCAGGAAATGTTACCAAAATTTCCACTATCGAAACCTAATCTATGAACCGTAAACTACAACACATAACTATGCATTCCCAAACTGTCCAAAAAATGGGACAATTCAATAATTAAATGGACCGCAGGTATGCTTTTGCATCCATGCACAAAATCCAACTAACTCTCAAACGGGAAACTAAGCTTTTCTTGAAAAAAAAAGTGTACGAAGTTAAGTTGTATTAACTTCGTAAACACAAAACAATTTTGTAATTGATGTACAAAAATATGTGCATACAAATAAATTAAATCACAATAATTAGTGAAACTAAATAAAATAGATACAAAATATTAATCCTTGTAAACTATAATGTTGATGGCCTTAGTTTTTATTTGTTTATACTAATTATATCATAGAATATACATATTCTAGTTAGTTACACTCGAGTAATTTTGGTGGTGAGCTAAATGTACTGTTAGAATATGAACACAAGTGTAAGCGTATTTTGGCTAGATATTGGTTTTAAAAAATCTTATTGAAAGATGTTTTGGTTGTCTTCAAGTTTACAAAGGATTGAGACTAAAAATGAATCCTAAATTACTTACTTGTATTAAAATTGGAAGATGATATTGAGTTTCTACAAGGATTTAATAAGAGAATCATAGCCATTGTTTATCTACATAAGTATGGCATATACTCCCAAAAATCAACCCGCTCATTATTGAACTAAAACCTATTGTCTTAGCATTGAGAATTTAATAGTGATGATAAGATTAGCTTTGAAGATCATGGCTTTTGTAGGTTTTCTATATAATTCTTAGTTGCAGCACATTGCATTTACCCTCAATTCAACCGTATAGCACAAATTAAGGAAATTTCAAGGGGAAACCAACATTTCTTACAATTTCTTCTATGTAAATATATAAGTTAACCTCGATAAAGTATTCAAATGAAGCCCAAACAAGTCTTCAACAATATATCTACAATCTCACTCCTTTTAATAGGTAAAATTAATAAAGATTACTTCAAAATTCAATCTCACAAAACTCCACCATTACCAAAAAAGGGCATAGCAAGTAAGCAAAGGTACATATACAAAAATCCCATATGCAATATGAAAAAAATACCTTCAAATTCGTTCTTCAATGATAATTGTATACAAAAATCCTGTACAAAACAAGTTTAGTAGTTTTAGTTTGAATTCTCAATTCAAAGTTACATATACAAAATCAAATTGCTTACCGGATACAAATAGATTAAGGAATGGAGAGAATTGGAGAACGTTTAGAAGAGAGATGGGGGAGGGAGGTAGCTGCTGCAACTAGATTGCAGTTTCTACCACCCAAACTAATTAAGTAAAGGAAAAAAAAGTCGTTGACTTTGCGTGACGCCAAATACGTCACGCAAAGATGTTTTGCGCGACATAAGTGCACGTGCGTCGCGCAAAGCTATTTTGCGCGACTCATGTATCCCTGCGTCACGCAAAGTCAACAAAAAAAGCGGTAAAACTTTCTTGGTTTAGCGCCAAAATCTTGCGTGACAGTAAACAAAAAACGTCGCGCAAAGGCCATTTGCGCAACGTTTTTTGTTT